AGATTTCCTTATGGAAGAAGCCTTGAGTCATATGTGCCTATGAAAAATTGATGTATCATTTGCACATACAAATCAAATCTAAGAAAACTGTTTGAACAAATCAACACCTTCGAGGTTTGGAATAAAATGATGTGAATTGTTATTTTTAGTTTTGCTTGGAACAGTTAAAGGCTAAGATGGTTAAGTTGCTATTGTTTTTTTTTTTAATGGTGGCGCTTACATACATACCACCTGATTCGTATCAATGTACCTATACTATACTTTTTTATGCATATACCGCCCAAATCTTTCATGTTACATTAAAGCTATAAAATTTTATGTATGTGAATACATGAGGATTATGTGGTATGTATGTAAATGCTCCCAATTTATTTCACTGCTACCCTAATATATTTTGTTGAAATGGATGCCTATGGTGTCATGGTTTGCTATCACAATTGGTTTCTGCGTTACAACTTTGATTGGAAATGTATTGGTCTCGACTTTATAAAAATCTGGAATTTATATGAGTCAGTTTTATGCGGATTGAAAATTCATTTGGTTTAGCTTCATGTAAATCTGAAATCGTACAAGCTGGTTTTATGCAAGTTGGAAATTCATATGGATTGGTTTTATAAAAAAATCTGAAATGACATGAGCCTGTTTTATGCGAATTTAAAATTCCCATGAGTTGGTTTTATGAATTTGGAATGCATGTATGTTGATGTTAAGCAAAACCGAAGGTGATATATGATTTTGACTTGCGTCAATTACTATTTCGACTCTTTATATTTGCCATTGGAGCTTTTAAAAAAAGATGCTGATTTGAGGGATGTTCTAGTACTATTTTGGGGCACTTTGGTGGGCTGATTTAAAGCACTCTACACATTATTTTGGGGCATAGCTGATTTGAAGTAATTTATGCACTGTTTTGGGGCATTTTGTTAGGTTGATTTGAAATCTATACACTGTTTTGGGGCATTTTGGTGGGCTGATTTGAAGCAATCTATGTACTATTTTGGAGCATTTTCATTGGTCGGTTTGAAGTACTGCTTAGGCATGGCTTTGGCCCGGTTTTCTCCGCTATTTCGAGCTGATATGATGGATGTTTTTGGGAAGAATTAAACATTTGTTTAGGCCGGCAGATTCACTGTTTTTCCCCTTTGCTTTGATGGCTTTTTGGAAGCGAGTCGGTCGGTCTGTTTCCCCCGTTGATTTGTTTCCTTTTTTTTTCCTTCTTACTCGATGATGTGGTCATACGTGCTTATACCAAGATATAAGTGCGTATAGTATAGAGATATGTGGATCATCGAGTGGCGGTGACGACAAAAGCATCTGCGAATAAAGCAGAATAATATTGCAACCTACGACATCGGGACCTGACCCAATGATTTGGTGAGAATGTAAAATGACAATATTATTCACCGAAATTAGACTAACTATGACCCTTGTTTTCTTGGTCTGCTGGTAGTTCTAGCCCGACAGTGTAATCGACTCGTGGGCAATTCAATTTATAAAATACATAAATACTGTGACAAAACAAATACATTCCTTACAACATCAATACTTTTGATTGCTAAATAAAAAATCTATTTTATTTACATGCATGACAAATCATGAAATTTGAATGATACAATTTAGATGTTCACTTGTCAGCTACCTGCGTTGAATAAAGAATTGCACTCATTCGATTGACTTGCTGGAAATTTATAATTGAATGTCGGGTTTTATACACGTGGATGACCGATGGTTGCCTACGAATTCCTTCGGGAATGATAAATCTAAGGGTTCGTTTGGGGCTGCGGCATGGGAGCGCCGCGGCCTCAGGCCGCGAAATTCTGTCGTTTGGCGGGGCGTCCCTCTCGCGGTGGGACGCTGTTCTGGTAAAAAGCCGGCCGCGGGATCGATCCCGCGGCACAGCTTTCTCAAATGGCTTTTTACGCATTACCCCCTCTTCGTTCGTTCGTCTTGCGCTCCTTCGCTCGACTCCGGCACATCTTTCTCAATCAGCAGCTCTGCTCCTTCCCTTTATCGCTCTACAACCAGCGCTCCTTGTAGATGTCTCTGTGCTCTGCTGGCGATATGAGGATGGACGCTCTAACCTCAGCCAGCTAGTAGGACGCCGGCGGTGGTGACGATTCCGGTGTACGGCGGCGTAGGGCGAGCTCTGGGACTAGAGCCCTCTACTGCTACGCTCAATGGCCACTCGAATCTGGGTTTTTTTATTCTACTTCTGGCCTTTTCTGTCTTCATGCAACCAAATAAGCTTTTGAAGTGTATAGCGCTTTTGGAGTGTATAGTTTTTTTGCAGTTTTCAGACGAAGTTGAAATTTGTTTTTATTTCTTATCTTCTATAGAACTGTTGAAACATCTTTTTATTGATTGCAAAGGATTAATGCGGCATGAACTCCATCCTCTGTTTAAATGAGTAGTAATGTTTTATTCTCCAAACAGAACTTATTAGTTGATGGATCATTTTAGAGTATCAGTTCACCCGCAAAATAAAACGTACTAGTTAAATGGTCTGTTTGTGGTAGTTTTTTTTCTCTCATTAGCTTATTGAATGCTCGGTTCATTTGTAGCCCTAGGTCACTGTAGCATTCATGCATCAGTGGTAGAAAAATGGTAGTTGGTTCTGTTTGGAAATTGAACAAAGCTGAATCAGCTTCCTATTCCCATTTTATTTTTTCGCTTCTTTGTATCTTCAAGACCCCCAAAGAAGCCTTAAGATTAGTAGTGTTGAGCTCTCTATTAATCTGTACTGAAACTTTTGGTTTGAAATAAATTTTTTGCTTTTTGAAATATCAAATATATTGGCGTCACATTTCTGTTACAAAAAATTTACTAAACAGGGGCAGAATAGTCATTTTTTCATAAACAGCTACCCCACGGCTGTTCTCAGACAGCTGCAACAAACAGACAGTTAGCTTCCCCGCAGCAGCTTCTCCACAGCAGCTTCCTGGGACAGCGCAGCTGCAGCTGAAAAGCTGAGAAGCTGCAGCTGCACCAAACTGATCCTAAGCCTACCCCAAGCCTGAATTCCTATGGTCCCCACTTCGATCATCCACATGTGTGTCACCCAGTCTGTTCTACATGTTTGTGTTTTCTTTATGTTGTTATTCAATTCTTTGTACATATATGCATGATATATTTATAATACTAACCCTTTTGCAGCATCGACAGGAATCCCAGATACGCATTGTATATTTCCTTTACTGCAGCCCTTCATTTTATTGTACTCTACAACATGTCTTATTTGTGCATATTTAAATACATCTGCAAGACCTTTAGGATAGAGAACAGTAGACTAGTTGTTTCTAAGGTACAATGTGACACACCGCCGACCAAATAAATTTGCATGCTCACACATAAAACCCTAAACCCTGAGGCGCTACATTACGGAGCTTGGAGCAAGCTTGATGGGCAGCACAACGAGGATGCAAGCAAGTGCATAATTACTTCAAAAAACTCAGCATATGAACAGAACTACTTCAATTAAATCATTCTATAGCCTTAAATAACAACAATCAATAAAACTTTAAGGTAGTTCGTCTAGCACCACATAAATCCTCACTTTTTATTTAAACTCCTGCAATACCATATTATGCAGCATAAGTTCTAACTCTCTTTAGATTCTGATATTGTCGTTCGGTACGACAAAAACCCTTCAATCTCCGCAGGTTATTTGCATAATCGAGTATTATGCAAGTGTAAGTCTCAAATAATAAAATTGACATAGTTGAACAATTAAATAACATTGTCTCCAAAATGCAGCCACACAGTTGAATAGTTTAGGAAATTACTGAGGATTCTCTTCATCATTCATGACGTCCTCCGTCTTTTCCTTCCTTTGGACAACTGAAATAATTGCTCTCACTTGGTGCTTTTCCACTTGATTTTCCGAGTATTGCCGTGAAAACCTAGACCTTGAATTCTTGAAGACTAGTACCTCTGATGATTATCGAGAGTTTTTCTAAGTGACCTCGGTCGTTTGGGATGTAATTAACTATAGGGGTTTGCTCTTATAGAGAACTTGAAAATCAGGTAAAATAAATCATATTTAATCGTTGTATCAGATAGAGAAATTTGTCGGTCACACAAAAGATGCACAAGCCAAACAGATGTCATACATTTTTTAGTTTATACAATCGGGCCCACCGTCAGGTAGTATGTCAATCTCTCAATGTAATATACTACTTGTGGCGTTGTGTTCAATTATTTAAATTATTAGATATACAGGATTTGTTATGACTCGTATCATCTTTCAAAATTAAAACACACTAATTTCAAAGTCAAAAAGGTATATACCTTTTATATTAAATTAAAACATTTTTCAAACAAAAGAAAAGAGAAAAAGTTGACTGACATATATCCTTCACTGTTGCAAAAAATAACTATAATATTATCATAATAAGACGTTAGAAACAATAAAAATCATATATTCAAGACCTTTGGGGTTGTCTAGTAGCGGATTTAGAGCAAGATTTAAGTTAAATCTTGTCAGACGGTCATTTTGGACAGATGAAGGTGCGGATTTGATAAATTCGGATTTCACGGATTTCGGCCGTAAATTTCGTAAATCCTAAATCCCACGAATCGGTGGATTTGCGGGAGTTGCGGGATTGATTGCGAGAGCGATTGGAATCACGGTGGATTTACGCAGAACTTCCCAAACAATTTTAATGTATTCGCGGGATTTAGAGGATTTTGTTGTCAGACGGTTTTTCATTCAGGATTTAGTAAATCTGGATTTAGAAAATCCTAATAACTTAAAATAAATCCTTTACCAAAAAGCCCCTGAATTACATACCTAGAGGATAATAAAAAATACAGTCTCCCACTTAACATTCTAAATTAACACATTTAAATCGGAAATCATGAATCTACAAATAAAGTGCATAGTGCGTATAATCTAACCTTTAGCAAATACCTAATTATTCATAGACCTGCAATAGAAACAAGATATACGGCAACAGCAGCATGATCAAATTACTTCAAATAAAAACTGGAAACAGCCATACCTGGTAGCGCAGAGCTCTATCGGTTAAGATGGATCCAAGCCAACCACCAGCAATGATTTTCATCACTCCAATCCACAAGCAAACGCCGCAGAAAACCAAAAACGCATAATTCCCAAGTCGCCTCCTATCCCTGGAAGCTAGCCCTGCCACGGGCTTCGCGAACAAGCTCTTGCCTAGAAGAGGCGCAGCCAACCGGAACCGGATATTCTGCCCTTGATGCCATCTCTCCGACTTCGGATCAAAGGGCGAAGAGGGTAAATCTGCCGCATCGCTCGTTGGGCTGCCTCTTAAGCTACTATCACCGGACAAGCGGGGCGAGTGAATCTGTAGCTCGTCGGAGCTATTTCCGATGCTGCGCTTGAAAGAGTTAGTGCGCCGCGTCATGGAGGCAGCATACCTAGGGCTGTGGACGCTCTGGTAGTTGCCGGAGCCGGCAGCTTGGTGGTTGGAATGAACCTGCTGGAATCCCATGAGAGAAAGATCGCGGGATCTAAGATTCAGGTGCGGTTTTATCGTTCAATACGAGGGGAATTGTTGCTCTTCGAAGAAGAAGAGGATATTCGTGGGCATTAACGGAGCCAGAAGCTCGAGCATGAGTCGCGAACTGCAAGTGATGGGACAATTTTACAAATTTGACGATTTTTAACTAATTATTAGCCTACCCATTGACGAAAATCTCTAATGTGCCTATGTAATGATTAGTGCTGTAAACGAGCCCAGCATGAATATTATGGGCTCAGCTCTGATTCGTGTTTTGACTCATTTACATTTTCAAATTAAGAAAATAGTTTTAATTGATTATAAATCTTTCTATTGATGTAATAATTAAATTATTTAAAAATAATATATATATATATAGTAAGCCAAAACGAGTCGAACATTAACGAACAAAACTTTGTTCGAGATCCGCTCGTTTATATATCGAGTGCAAAAAAAAAATTGTTCGTATTCGGTTCGTTTGTTTAGCAAACCAATTAAATACGAGCTATTTAACGAGTCGAACACAAGTTGTTCGCGAACAACACGCCGTTTTGACAGCCCTAGTAATGATGTTTACCCAATTAATCTGTGTCGGGTTTGGTTCGAGGATTAGAAGATGTTTAATTTTTTAAGTCATATTTAGGTTGACACTTTAACCCGACATGAGATTAACATGCCAAATAAAAATTAATTCAAATTTAACTCAAATTTGATCTAAATTGCTATTATGCATATGTTCAACAATTTATGCAAGCATGGTAACTTTTTTCGATCGAGTAATTCAAATATGGGTAAATTTTAGGCCAGACTCAAACTTGACCCGCAAACCCAATTTAACACTTTAAATTCAAACCCATATCCTCTTATTGAAGATTAGGTACGACGACCAAATGACTTAGTATTGGTAGTCCAAAATTAAATACGTATGACATATTAGTTTTTTTTATTTTTTTCTATAAGCAATAGAATTGTTTTTTAATTAAATAAAGTTTTCATTGACTTTGCACCTTTTAATAGAGTATTTTAATTTTAAATTATTCCATTAAATTGGCATAAAGATTAAAAAACTCTTAATATGACGATCGTTTTAGTCTTTGTTGACATTAAGTTAGAATAAGAAATTGTTGTGATTGAGAATGATTCTTTCTTTTCTTAAATTATTGATACATATTTGTTTTGTTTTTCTTTGCTCTTTTGTCCTTCTCTTCTTATCATTTTTAGAGAGAGAGAGAGAGAGATATGTTGCTATTTATTCTTTATTCTATGGATGTTCATATCCATCATAAGATTAATTTCTCAAAGTTTCTTACTAGACTTCTACATCTCTAAACGTAGCATTTTGAGTATAAAAGATATGTTTGTCATTAATTGAACATGCAATAAACTTAAAGTTATTCACTATGTTAGAACAATAAAATTAGTACTTGGACTAAGCATTAAATTGATCAACCTCACAATGATCATTGATCCATAAATTAAAAAAAACAACTTTATCATAGGATTGGGTAGAGAGTAGAAATTATTCATCAAATGCAAATTTTCAAGTCATAAGACTTACAAAATGAAAACATTTTTAGTTTTACATGCATTGAAATACAAATTATCACATAATGGTGGGCTATCACAAATTTGACCACATGATAATGAAAAATTGGCTTGTTAGGATTATTTACTATTGAATATGAAGCCAAAAGGATTGGTTGCCAGCACCACCTCTTTAGTACTAATTTTGAGAGTTCGAAAACATTTTTATTTATTCTTTTCTCACATCAAACTCACACAAAAAACATATAGACTTAATTAATTTATTTATTAAACAAATAAGCTACACATTCATAAAAATATTCAAATGCATGTGTACAAGATATATAAAATATGATAAGCTAGCAAATATGTTGGTATACAATTAATGATGACAATCTAGATAATTTTAAACTCAAGAATATTAGCAAATTCTTTAAAATAAGCAATACAACCTATAGCATAGTATTGAATAGGGATCTCAACCTATAAACCTATGTATAATACCTATAGCAATACAACCTATAGTATATACATATGGATTTTACAACATAGCTATAGGGATATACAACCTACATAGCAATACAACCTATAAATTTTATTTTACCTCACCCATTAGGAGCTGTTGGTAAGACATTGCTATTATGGTTGATAGTATAATCACTCACATTCTTAGAATAACATTGTTCATGATCATATATATTGTATATAAATGTTTATAATATGTATATATGTGGTTGAGTAGATATTTTGGATTTTAGTTTAATAATCATATTTAGGGTTTAGGGTATGAGCATGGGGTATGAGATCCCTATTCAATACTATGCTATAGGTTGAGATCCCTATTCATAGCAATACAACCTATGAGCATGCATAAGTCAATGAATCGTTAATGGGGTATGAGCATGCATAAGCAAGATGTAAGGATAATTGAATAGGGAGCATAATACCAAAATATCTACTCAACCACATATATACATATTATAAACATTTATATACAATATATATGATCATGAACAATGTTATTCTAAGAATGTGAGTGATTATACTATCAACCATAATAGCAATGTCTTACCAACAGCTCCTAATGGGTGAGGTAAAATAAAATTTATGATTTATAAGGTTTTATTATCATCATTTAATTTTTTTTTTTTTTTTTTTTTTTTTTTGAGATGTTGTTAATGTATAGCACAACCATTAATTAGTGTTTATAACCAACCTTTTAGGAAAATGATTGTAAGGAATGCAATATTAATGCCCTAAAAAAATAATATTATGGATTGAAAAGAAATATTAACAATGTAATGGAATCAAGGAGATTGCTTTGATGAATACTTAAATTTTCTTTATTTGTATGCTTGAATATTTGCAATGATAGAGCAAGTATTTTTTAAATATTATTTCTTGAATAAAAGCTTAGCATGTCTATAGATTAAAAAAAACAAGTTAGTAGGAGAAATCTGAAAAAAGACCACAATATGTAATATATCTGTGATAATTTATTCTGTATGTAAAATTATATAAGATTGTTTTTCCCCTCAATTATAAAAGTAGATATTACATAGCTAGGAGCACTAGCTTGATCTTACGAGTCTGTAGTAGAGATTAGTAGAGAGATAATGAAGAGTGATGACAGTCCAGCGCAATCGAGTAATAATATTTGAATAACAATATTTGGATGATAACAGTCAGCAGCAGTGTTTGGATGTTGATTATCAGATGATGATAATTGCATAAAAATGGTTTAACAATGACGATTGAATGATAGTGAATTAATAAATGATTCAAATTCATATGTAAATGATTCAAAGAATTAATAAAACAAGACTTATGGTCAAATTTATACCATAAATTATGTATTAATCTTGATTAATCTATTACTATCATGAAATTTTAAATATACCAACTGAGCTCCTAAAATTCAAGAAGTTTCATGGAAATTTAAATGCTTTAATAAGCTACAACCACTCTTAATAAAACACATTCTTAACCCATAAGAATTTTTAAATATAAACTAATTATTTGAATTAATATATGTAATAAGATTTTATATAAAAAAAAATATTAATAATATGATTATTAAACTAAAATCCCCAAACTTTCTAATAATATTATAAAATCAACTATAAAATGAAAAAAAAAAATCCGCATGATTATTAATTATAAACTAATATTACAACCAATTGAAAAAAAATAAATCAAATTATTAGAAAATTAATCAGTCAAAACAAAATCTCTTTCATGCAATTGGTACTATTGAAACCTTGGGCATATCTTATTTAATCAACTAACAGCGATAAACACGTTGCACTAGCTCTACTTCAAATAGTAAATAATCTATATTAGTCTAGTGAATAGTGAATAAGATCATTTTTATAATTTACTTTATATATATATATATATATATATATATAAAAGATCATTTTTATAATTTACTGCATTTATATAATTGAAACCTTTTTTTATCAAGAATTTTTTTGGGTATCTCCTAAGATGTAATTAACCGAAGGAATACATTTCTCTGGGAGCTGCTCTTGACCCCATAACAAGCATTTATACTTGATTATCTGCTTGTGGGTTGCATCTTTAAGATATTCTTCAAGGATATGTCTCCAAGGTATTTTGGATCTAATCTCATTTCGAACATATGCATTGGGGTTATATATGCGAAGTTCACTTTACAAAAGTTCTCTATGTTCCTTCTCTCGTTTGTCTATTGCTCATTATATACCCCTTCTTTCGGTTCATCTTCTCTTCATATCATTCATTTTATCCAAGATGGTGATTTATTCAAATGATTATAAATAAACAAGCTGACGACTCCTTAAAAAAATAAAAGGGAAAAAAACTACAACAATTTGATAACTCCACTGGGGAAGTTTCTCTGTCCAAATTAGGTGTCGTGCTTATATTATCGTGGCTTGGTTCTCTCATTGCGTCCCTCTTGAGCCTTTGGACCTTAGATTTCAATCCATGCCCCAACAATCTCTCATAGACACCCTTGAGGCTACTCATTAGTGATGAAGAACTCACAATACAGCACAAACTTATAGTCATCTCAAAGGTTTTCCTCGTTAAGGAACGTGTTATGCACCTGGTTACGGTGATCTAACATCTTCCTAAAAGTTTAGCCTCATCCCATCGATTGAAACTTCTCATTCATGGATGGACGATTGACGACCAGACTAGATCAACCAATCAACAAAGCCTAGCCAATCAAATTAATTTAGCTGATAAAAAGTCAATCGAGCTCTCGACCAACTGACAAAAACAGCTTAGTCTTACCGACTGAAACAACCTTACCATGTCGAAGGCAAATGAGCTCAGCCATTTGAGCCAGAGAGCAACTGAGCAATAAGCTCATATATGTAAAAGAACTTAAATATCATGTACAACCCCCATTAAATCATATAGAAAAATTCAACATTATTATATTGTATCATCTCTCCTATAAACATTGTTTATGTGTTAGTGTGGAGCCCGGTTTGGACCTCCTTCCGCTCTAGCTCTCCCGATCGTGAGAGATCGCGATCTCTCGCTCCTACTTGATTGTGAATTGGCGCTTCCCGCTCCCACCCCTTGTTTCATGAAGCTTCTCGCCCGATCGTCGCATCTCTTTACTCGATCGCGAACTGCTCCTGCCTCCGCT